CATGCTGCTTTTTTTCTTCCAACCTCTTCTGCCTTTCCTCTTCACATTCAGCAGCACGTTTTTTGGCTTCATGCTGCTTTTTTTCTTCTAACCTCTTCAGCCTTTCCTCTTCACATTCAGCAGCACGGTTATTGGCAGCATACCGTTTGGTTACTTCCAAACTTATCTGCCTTTCCTGATTAGCTTCAGCAGCCTGTTGCTCCTTCCCCTTTTCCAACATCTCTGCACATTGTTGTTTCTTTTCTTTTTCTATTGCCCGTCTTCTTGCTGCTTGCTCTCTTCTGACGGATAATCTTTTTTCTCTGTCTTCCACTGACTCATCCCTTCGTTTAACAGCAGCACGGTCCCTTCTGTCTGCCAATCTTTGCTGTCTATGGTGCTCTGACTCTTTTGGCCTTTTGCAGTCTGATTGACCAACCAGCTCAGCCTTTCTTTTTGACATGATACTGAGCTTGACTTGCTCTGTACCTCAAATTCTGCAAGAGAAACCTTGTAATCAATGTTTGAAGTATGTTGGTAGTGATATCATTAGTAATAACCTACTGTTTCAGGTTTCTTGGAATAAAGACCCTGTTGTCCTCAGTGCCACTGTGAACCAGTCCCTTTACCTGCAAAAAACAGAAATTGTCAGAAACTTGTATTACATCAACTCTTCAATAATACTTTTAAATCAACTGCTTACAGTGTTCTATTCCTGATGGACTTCAGAACAAAGTAAACTCCAGGGTGCACGTATTGACTGACCTCCAGATGCTTGGCATGAAATGCTGTTGACCTCCAGAAGAAAGAAGACCGATACTTTGGACCTGTAAAACAGAAAAAACAACCCCCCACCCAGGCACACAGAAGAAATACTGCAAATACCACCAAAAATCAAAACAGAAGCACCCCCTGCCACAAACACGAAACACTTATGCGTCCTTTCTCGCACCAAAAATCAAAACAAAAGCGTCCCCTGTCACAAACACTAAACACTTATGCGTCCTTTCTCGCCAAAATCAAAACAAAAGCATCCCCTGTCACAAACACTAAACACTTATGCGTCCTTTCTCGCCAAAATCAAAACAAAAGCGTCCCCTGTCGCAAACACTAAACACTTATGCGTCCTTTCTCGCCAAATCTCTTGCCAAACAACGTTTCAATTAACTTTGCACCAACAGCATAAGATGCTGCCAATCACTGCATACAGAATTCAGCCAAATCTGAAAAGAAAAGAGAAGTTCCTGTTATAAACATGGCCATCATACTGTCTTACAGAATTGTAGATTTTATTTTGT